TTTTTGTTTTACAAAATTTAATCTGCATGACACTTAGATTCAATGTAAACGTTTTAAATGTAAATCAAATACGTTTGAGATTATGAGTTCTCTCAAACTCATTTGAGCTCACAAAAACCAAATAAAAATATCGCGTTAGTATGTAAATATATATATATATTTTTTAAGTGATAACGATGTTTTTCAAAATTCAAGCTTTAGTGTTTGATTTATAAAGTTGTACGTTTATAACAAAAACACAACTTTAGTTAGAGTAATATGAATACAATTAAACGATATAAAAAATTTAATTGTATGATCAGTCACATATGATATCCAATGGACAAAATACAATTTCATAAAGTAATTGATATCAGTAAATGTATCGTTCAAAAAATTATGTTATATAACTTTTAAAATATTAAAATTTTATATTTTAGTTGGATTTAAATTAGTAACATATGTATTTGTGAATTTATTTTTAAAAAATAATGTAAATATGTAGGTATTTCCAATATAGCATATAAAATTAATTGTAATATTTTGATTGGTTATTTTAATTAATATTTTCCTTGTGACACATATGATTTTTTTTCACTTAGTGTCTCCTCAATTAATATATAGATCGATTATATATAGAACACAAACTTTAGGCGAATTTACATATCGCATTTATGCAGTATAACATTAGTTATAAGACTACTTTTGTTATGTTTTGGTTTATGGTTTGAACTCGATTTAGTTTTTTTATACTTAAGAACATTTGCATCTTTCTATTTGAATCAATGAAGATATGCAAATAATTTGTCACAATATTAATGGAGTATTTTGTTAATTTTATTTTGTTTCAGTTGAATGATGTACACGTTTGTTGATATAAAATATAATTATGTTGAAATCAATGCTTTAAACTTGATCACGACAACAAATTTTACTATATTTTTTGTCACTATATCACTGAATCGACTCCAATCAACTGGGAGTTAATACATAAGTGACATATTTATTTATCATTTTATGTATTATAAAAAAAAAAGTTATGT